GAACTGTCTGCTATTATATGCCCTTGCTATATAATGCATATCTACATAATAAATTATGCTATTAAAAAAAATAATATTGAAAACATTGCGATAAAACTAGTTTGCGTCTTCCCTCAGCAGTAATCGAACCCGAGGTGTCCCGTACCGAAGCACGACTCACCGAACTCTAGTTGGTGTCGAAAAAAACAATGTTACTTAACACTGGAAGTGCAGAGTAACGTGAACACATAATTATAAGGAACTGAATAAAAATCGAAACCGTTTTAAGAGTACTCTTTGCTACGATGATAAGTTCAAAACCCGCTTAAAACCGTTTTTAAAACGGCAATCAGATCCATGTGCGAAATATTTCTTTGCAATATTTTTGCGACAAAGCTCATTAGCTGCGCAAAGGGAATGATTTAAAAAGCAAAAGGGCACCACAAATAATACGGAAAATCCGCATTAAAAACATAAGTTTCCCCTGTGACACACAAAAACAAAACCAAAGCCCAACAAGGAAAGTAATTTGCCATAGGCAGAGCTGTGCGAGCGGTAAGAAAATAAAAAAAGAAACAGTCACCATGACATTTGCAGACCATACGAGACCATAAACAAAGAAAGAAATGCTATTACTGGGCAAGTGGTAAGTGGTAAATGGGCTGACCATAGCGGGTCAGCACCAGGCCCAGTCCAATGTACGCAAATACATATAATAATCACAGCAACTATGCCGAGCGACCTTAATTTGCAGGGTACTACGAACCAAAACTATTAACCAGGCTATGTTTGCGGGGTCTCAGTCATAAAACTGCGTGCCACGCAATTTCAAAGAAGTCGGGTCGAAAAATTAGCTAAATTTCTTGCGTGTGCGAGTTAGAGAAATGAGAGGGAAATGAGCTTTAGCACTGAGATTCACTCTCCGAATGTGAATCAGCAATCAAAGAATATACAAATTATACTATGTACAAAGGTGTGTGTGTGTATGTATAAATGAAATTTAAGAAAAAAACATTTTTTGGAACTGGTTTTCGCCAACTGGAACGTACAAGCTTGCACACTCACATGCAAATGAGTTAATTTTGAAATTTTGTTTTTGTTTTTGTTTTTGCTTTTGCCTTTTTTTTTTGCAAATTCGTCGATAAATTGTCGGCCATCGGACAGCGACGATATGTTGATGACTTCACCCCAAAAAGGTACGTGAGCCGACTTTTTGAATTTTGGTAAAACATTGAAAATAAACATATAATAAAAATAAAATAAAGTCTTGGGAAACATGCGTTCAGAATGGGATTTAATGTTATCTAACCTGAGCTATGGTTATAGTAAAAAAATATTATTTATAGTTGGCTAAAGACATATGTATGTATGTATGTATGTGCGTGTGGGTTGGCTTTGTCCACACGATATTTTTATTCTTAGGCGTTGAAGATACGCCAAAGATCGGCGAACTTTATATGGTCAGCAAGTGAGTCAGTTGTTTGGTGGGCGAAAGGCGGAAAATCAAAATTAAAGCTCATGAATAGGCGTTTTTATCATTGATGGACAACTCTTAAGTATTGACCAACGACTGCAGTCTGCCAGTGTTGAGAATTGTCGATTGCTCGCATTGCCAACTGTACCAAAGATTAATAACCGAAACGTTTACGTTCGTTACGTGTTTCACTTCTACTAGTTCTTTGCAGCTAAATGCATCCTGTTGTAATCAAGGCTAATCAAAGCGCACTCAAATTAAATTATCAAGTTCTTGGGGGCCAAAGCGAAGTGTGTGTGTTTTTTTTTATCGTTTTTTATCGTAATTGATTCAAGAATAAATTGCTGCCGCTGACAAAAGGCCATTCTATTCAATGGGAGTACGAAAGTTGCTTAATAAATTAGAAAAACTGGTTGCTCAACACAAACAAACAATAAATTCGTAAGCTCGTTCAACTTATTAAAAGCGGAGAGACGGATATAGACTTTTGAAAAGGCCAGGGGTAGCCACAACAAGTTGTATTATGTATATAGTACGTATATGTATAAATACGAAGCGTATCGAACGCCTACACAAAAGTTGGTATACGTTTATTTTGTTGATGTGACTGTTTCACAAAATGACAAAGCGCGTCATAAAATCGAGTGGTAAAAAGGTCAGGGAGGGGTTTGGAATATTGGAGTATTTCAGAGATTCAATCTCCTTTCATTTCTTCACAAATAATAACAACAATTGGCTGTAAATCGTAATAAACGACAGACCCGAACTTAGCTATGACTTCAATTGATGGCCCAATCGGCAATTGTTCTCCCGAACGGGTTTAGCTTAAAAATATAAAAAAAAAGAAACATGGTCAGCCAGTTGGGCGTACAAACTAGTTTCCCAGACAATGGCAATAACAGCAGTATTATTTTTATTTCGACCGTTTGTCTGTGAACTAGATATTGTAGTGCAGCCATGGAACCAAAAGCTTTCTGATATTTTTACTACAAAAAGCCGGGAGATATTGAAGACATACGTAAAGGAATGTTCGATAAAAGATTTAAGCTATGAAATGTGGCGGAATGCGTGAGAACTTTGTTTAGTAGAAAGAATTAAAAGACCAAACATTTGGAAAAATATATTTACGATTTATATGTTTTCAATTTAAATATGGGTAAATGCGCAGTTGCTTGGCAATCAGAATTAGGCAAAGCAATATGTGTTAGATGTATTACAAATGTTGGCCAAAAAAGAAAATATTAATAAAACCAGCTAAAAATAAAAGCCGATGCTCGTAAATTGGCACACACGCTTCAACAGACCGCAAAATATAAAGGCGCGCTTGATGACTCGAACCACGGAGCAACACCTACAACGGACCAGTCCCAGGTCTAATTACGTCAGTCAGCCACAGCTATGGCAACTATTATACTTATGCATAGTATACTCTGGGCCTGGACATCAACTAAATTGGCCAGCGACTGGCATTGTGATTATGACGCATCAGCGAACAGTCCAAAAGCGCGCAAAGCCTCAAAATTAATTAGACAACATTTTTGTTGTTCGTTTTTTTTTTATGTATAAGTATATATATATATGTTTTTTTTATTTTTGCATATGCCAAAAACACGCAAAAGCTGCGAAAAACCGAAGTCTAGACGTCACTTGCCAAATGATAAGCCCTTAGGTGATGTCAAGGTGGACAAGACGCGAGATTTATGCGGCATCCACATGCCACAAGTCCTGTGCCAAGGCTCCACAAATGAATTGAAATATTTTCGTATTCCGTTGTAACGCCCGAAATGACAAATTGAACCGCTCAACGGCGCTGTTGACCTTTGCGGCTTGACCAATTTCGTAGGGGCCAGGGCGAAAAAAGCAAGAGAAATAAAAAAACAAAAAAAAACTAGCTTAGAGCGAATTGTTTTTAGTTAATGAAAAGTGGAACATGGGAAAATGTTACTGTTACGCTAGATGGGCGCAATAATTTCAATGGGCAATGCTCCACAGTTCGTTAATGGTTTCTTATTTCTTCTCAATAGGCATACGATCGGACTATCAATAATCAATAGGTCATCTAAAGACATGGGAAACGTATGTATTATAAAATGTTTGTGTGATTCAATGGATGAATGAGTGGCATATTATCCTTGAGAACAGCTGGCATTATGGGTCAATTCCCTAGAGTGACCATCGTACCTTCGAAATGAAGATGAAGTCATGCGACGCTTTTAAAAATCCCCAACAAAAATTACAACTCTTTGCATGACTAAGCCGACACGAAAAGCTCCCCTCCTCCCCACCAAAAAAAAAAAAACTTGCATACGCAACGAAAATTCAAGTTCAACGTTTTGTTCCGTCCTCTGTCTGGGTTACTGACACCGGAGTTCAACTACACACTTCCTAGAATATAGCTATTTCCAACGGGTAGTTCCATTAACATTGCGTTTACATGACGAATAGCCAAAAGTCAATATAATTGATAAGAAAACAGAGTTCGCTTGTCAACGGAAAAGAACATGGCCATTAGCCTAACTATCACTGGGCGGTAGAAAGGGAGTGGGAGGGTGGGCAAATAGTTTTTGGGTAAGTACGCAGCAAGTAATATGCTAATGAACGGCCACGAACTTGAGCCGTATGGGCATATGTACATAATAATGCCTTGAACCAGAACGTTCCCGCTGAACGCCAATCGCTAACTGAGCATTAGCTGTGTGGATATTAGAGCTAGAGCAAATTGTCTATTGCCTGTGTGTGAACAGGTGCGCCACCCACTGTGGTTCAAGGTCGCAGCGCACAGACACATTCGATAAGGCTAAACAAACTTGCGGCTGTTTCTTGTCTTGTTCTTCATTGTCTTGTCAGGCTGCCGCCGGCTGCGCGTGTTGGGCTGATAATGGCGAGCTAAAAGAACGGTAAAGCTGCAACGGTTTTCATACTTTAACATGCAACTAATGCAAAGTAAACGGTCATGGAAAATCGATATCATTACGTAGATAACTACTACATATATACATACATATGTATGTACATATGTTTGCATGTGTATACGTATATAGTTCACTAGTTTACTGCGCACTTTTGCCGTGAATTCTCTATGTGACATGTCAAGTAAACATTTTGTTAACCATCCATTTGGTATATGAATACGTATGCATGTCTGCATGTTTGTGTATGGCTGCCATGTACTACGTGTGTCTAAATATTTTATGCACTGCAGTTGACAAAATGTGTATTGCTGCAATTGAACAGTTGAACAGGTGGAGCGCGTTTGTCTGTACAAAAAGCAATCGATATGCACTAAATTATGCATATAGATAGCTAGAATAATGGCTGACAATTTAAGGCACGTGCGTTAAGCCAAAAAAGAACAATCCAAATTAAAAGCTGAGTCAGCCAGTCTGATCAGCGTTGCCAGCTAGCTTGGCTTGGTCAGTGTAAACATTTGACACAATTATCGATAACATGTAATCGATCAGCGTTGCCAACTAAATTGAGTTGCCAATTTATTTATTTGGTAATGCTTATATAATATCATATATTTATTAAGATTGTTGCCACTCACCTCAATTTTACCAGAATAATCCTCAATTAGCTTCTCCTGTTGTTTGACCAGCTCCTCATTCTTTTCGAGCAACGCTTTGCCCAGCTCAGCGGCTAATAATATATCTGATTCCTTCTGCTGCAATTGAGCCCACACATCCGGCTCATTGTCGTTGCGTCGTGCCTCCATGGCGCTGATGTAATGTTCTAAATCAATTGAAGCGTCAATTAGTGCGGAGTGCGAATGTTTTTCGTAGAGTGGCAATGACGACGAATCGACTGCAGACTCTTTAACCGTTACTGGCTGGCTGAATTGACGTGCGCGTTTTGATTTGTTGTTGTTGTTGTTGTTGTTTGATATGGATGAGGCAATACCGGCAGCAGTTATAGGATTTGCTAGCTTTGGTCTATGCATGATCGTTAGCGGCAGGCAGGTGTTGGTGGTTGGGTGGTATTACGAACAACAAACAAAACACACACAAACATAACACAAAAATGCGATATACATATATTTATAATATTGGTTGTTAGAGATTATGAAGGCGATCGAGCGGGCAATCGAGCAGGCGATTTGTTAGCGGCGATTAATATTAATATTGATTTATTTTCTTCTTTTTTTTTAGGTTAGGTTTTCAGATACAAGACAACGCGTTGTAGTCGCTCTTGTTGTTGTTGCTCTTGTTGCTCTTCTTCCTGTTGTTGTTGTTGTTGTTGGGGTCGCTGATTATGTTGTACCTGTGCCTTGGGATTGACAGACCCAAGCCACATGATGTTCCCATAGATGTCCGCTGCCCAAGAGCAGCTCAGCATGCGTTTGTATGAGTGGCCAGACACCGCACGGCGATTTAACTGTTGTTTTGGTAAGTAGTAGGTAAGTTGGTAAGTAAATAGTAGCAGTATTGAGAATTAAAGCCAAATTGGCAGCAAGGCATTTGTACATGGAAATATAATACAAGAGCTGCTCTCGCAGCACGTAAACTGAGCTAAGCAGAGGCTAAAAAGGAGCGCCGGTCACGTTGCACATTTACAAGCACGTTTTCGGTTACAGGGGAAGGGTTAGCGCTGAGCGGGCGTAGGGGTGCTGAATATGTACATATGATGATGACATATAAGTATTTTCATTAAGTTGAGTTGATGTAAAATGAACATTTAGTTAAGCTGCAGGCGTTTGTGTTAAGCCTGGGGCATGGCAGGGTTAAGATTTTGGTTTCGGCTTAAACAAATCGATGAACGATAACGATTCCTTGATAAATGCAATCGGAATTGTGTTGCTTTCGTTAAGCTCAGCTTAAACGTGACAAAATGTGTTGAATTCTTGTGTTATATGAGTTATGTGTTGGGCAGATAAAAACGGTAGAGAAATTTGCGCTTTAGTTTAGTTTAGTTAAGCAATTAGGTTCCTTTTTTAAAGTCAGCTTACACACACACACACACACACACACACACACACACAGTTATGAATGGCATATAAAATGTATCGCATTTGAGAGTTACATTTAGCACTAAGTTTTGCGTCAACCTGTTGGCTTTCAAAGGGGGAGTGGCGTTGGGGGGACGCATTTGGACGCGCCAAATTCGAATTGGATTTTATTTGTGTTAGCTTTACATACAAATTTCTAATTTATTTTATATTTTTAAGCGTGTTTATTATATAGAAAATTCATTTGGCAAGCACTTCACGCTTTGCTGCATTTGGTGGCAGCAGCTGCTGCTGTTGTTGTTATTATTGTTGTTGTTGTTGTTGCTTTGGTCAATATATGTACATATATAAAATGTGCTTAACGCGTTCGTTTTTGGCCAACATTTAATTTGTTTTATTGTTGGCTAGCAACACACACACACACACACACACACACACACACTTACACACAGGTGCTGCTTGTATTGTTATTGTTGCAATTGGCTTTAGCCGAGCACTTCCGTTAAATGTGTCACAAGTCACAGAGTAGTTGCATATATACGTCTAGTTCTCAGGTATTATTGACAAAACAAAAAAAGATAAACGCGCGCTTTGCATGCATTTAGCACTCAGCTCGGATGGTATCTATGAGATACTTTCCACTTTCAACAACCAGCCAACTAACTATGGATGTATTTATGTATTTGGGTATATTATAGCAAACAGAAACCTCGGTCACGACGACGACGACGACGACGCAAGCCAAAAAGAACTTCCGATTCCGATGCCGATGCCGAGAAACGCAATGTTTGGAGTTCGCTGTGGGTTTTTTTTGTCAATCTTTTATTTTGGTTTTGTTTGTTACGTGCTCTCCGCTGTGGAATCGGGCGACGACTGAAAGGCGCGACTGCTCGGTACTAACTGAAACTGGCCACAACGCTACGAAAATTGGCAAAACAAATGAGTAACCAAGCCAACTTGGTAGCTTGGCAACAACAACTCAACAAATGCCCAAAGCGCTTTCGGGCATACAAAGAGCAAAAGAGAGAGCGTGGCTCTTAAGAGAAGCACGCGTGCTTAAGAGTAGCCATCAGGGTTGTCGAGTATTGACAAAATAAAGTCGTAAGTTACGCGAATAGATAAAACCATATCTCCAAGGTTGCTTAGATATGAGTGTGTAGCAAACAGATTAGATAAAAATGCAAGTGCAGTGCTCTAATAAGTCCACATACATCAATAAACTTTAAACGAGTTGACACATTTTTGAATAACGTTCTTATTCGTTTACTCGTTTACAAAGCGAAAAGAGCATATTTATTAGATACCCGAAACTTGGAATATATATTTGAAAGCAAAAAACCATTAGCATATGGGGAAAATGTATATCTTACACAGTGTCAGAGCTAGATTGGGAAATGCAATCAAAATAATAATGATGAGCGGCGCTTAAAATCGATTCAAAAATATATTTTGGCATATGACACATTTATACTGGTAAATTTTACAAGTAAAAGACAGTTATGATCATAAAGGAGACTATTTAACATTCTTACTGCTAAGCATATTTATCACATATTTGCTGTACTTTCTGAAGATATTGCGACCCATGTTTATGTTATAAAGGATTTTTAATGCTTATATCTGTGCAAACCCCACTTTTATTCCTTTCAGATATACTTTTAATATGTAAATAATTTGACATGTTTATGTTATAAGGGATTTTTTGATGAGACATCTGTAAACATAGCACTTTTCTTCCTTTCAGATATACCTTTATTATATAAACGGTTTGACAATCCTATATAGCAGAATTCAAACTCAACGTTAACCAGTTTTTAAGCAACATCTCTCTCTTAACTGCCATCTGTTAAACTGCTCTCTCTCTCTCTCTCTCTCTCTCTCTCTCTCTTGCTTATGAGCTCTCTGTTAACCCTTTTGTGGCTGGCTTACGAAAGCGTTCAAGTGAACTACATTGAATGCGGAGCGATGTGCATGAGGCGCTCGGCTTGGGCAGGGAGAGAGGGAAAAGCGCATGCAGGGGGCAGAGCTGGACCTCCAAGCCCAAGCGAAACGAAGACGGCGTCAGTGCTGCGAATATTTCAATGAAAATCAAATTTACATACGACGCCCGACCAGGCCAGGCCAGACCAGACCAGCCCAGACCAAAGCAAGAAGAACAACAATAGGCCACATAAGAGCGGCAATAACAATGGAGCACAGACATAGACATTGGGTCTAGTGCGTGCTACTAAAACTAAATCCCAAGAACCAACAGCAAACATGAGCACAATGAACGCCTCGAGTGGCCCGGCCAAGTGAAGATGCCTCAAGCTCAAGTCTTGCGGCGCTTGCTCCATTGTTATGGCCGACCCAGACCGGAGCCACAGCTCGGACAGCCATCTCCTCAAGCCATTAGCTTCATGGTGTGTCATGGTGTGTGCCCGGCCATTGCGTGGCCTTTTGTTTATGTTTGGGGCGTCTGTTGATGGTTGATGGTGGATTGTTGATTGTTGATGGCTACTGTTTGGTCGTTTACCAAATTGAGCTTTTGGCCATCTAGTTGGAGCTGGGTAATTAACCAGGCGTGACCAGCCGAACCAGCAGAATATTGTTGTTTTTTCTTTAAAGAGTGAAACCTTTGCGCTTCCGTTGTCTTCATCTGAAGTTAATGTCTTGCTGTTCCTCTGAAACTAAAACCGGCCAAACCGGGGCAGCCCTCTTCCTTTTCAACATTTGTAGGGCATCTGCTTGGAGCTTGTCCGATCTTCAGTCACTTGTAACGTGGCTTGTTCTTGAGCTGCTTTACAGCTTTGCAGCTCTTGCACTCTCGATCTTGTTGCGGTCACTCCGAAGACCATTGCAACTCCTCGCCCCGCCTCACGCTTCGGGTGGCGTCCAAACTGGTTTCAGTTTTGTACATTTGTGTTTAATTATTTTTTTTTTCATGATACCCTGTGCTTTGAGGGAACATGGGGTATGCTAGACTAGGGCTAGCAAATCACTTGCTCAAGAAACTTAAAAATCAAGACTCCTCTCAATAACGGAAAAGATTCCCTCCTTCATGCCTGGAATAGGAATTCACTAAAATACAAGAGTAACTCAACTAAAGACTACTCTTTTAAAAGCAACAAATAACTCCCAAGTAATAGCTAAAAAAGTCTCGTATTTTTACCATAAGAGCCTACTCTGATAGATAGAAAAGATAGTTTCCTTTAGTCAAAACTTCGATGTAAGCGAAATTTTGAAAAATACCCAATCTATATACCCAATCAACTTTGGAACTAAAGTGAAAAAAAAACCAACTAGCAATTGGTTTTATTAAAAAAATGGAATCTAAGAGTACTCCATAATATGGGGAAAAAGCCTTTCTTTTGAATGGATCGAGCACAAAAAAGTTGAATGTTAAGACTTACCTGAGAGATGAAGTTGCCTGAAGGAAGGTAAAAACCCTGATTTAATTAAGAAATACATGTAATAACCTAAACTATTGCCAGTTAATTTCTTAACTTTCAAAATTGCTCGCTTAATTGATTTGGTACTCAGGCTTGAACCATTTATAGGGTATATGCCAGGTCTGGCATTTGCGACGCAGCTGTTCTGACATGCCTTATAATACCATAATTATGTTGTTTTTAGCATTTGGCATGAGTCAACAGCTCTTCGGGGGCATTACAAGCTGTGCTGTGTTTTATTTGTTATGTATCGCGCTTTGTTTTTGTTTTCATATTTTCGCAATGCAATCGCGATTCGTAAGCCAATGACAAGAGAACTTGGCTCGGTCAGTGTGTTGGTTATTGGATATGTGTGTCAGTGACAGTTAAGGATCTGAGCCAACAGAGCGAATCGTGTGCAGCAACAAGTCACAGATACAGATACAGATTTATATCAATTCAACATATTCAACAGGTAGCGCATTCCAAGAACCTACGAGTCTCACTCGTGGCCCACAAACCGGGCTAGTTCGGCAGCATATTACCACACAGCCAACATACCGTAAAAAGGTCAAAACTGGGCGTGAGAATTGAGCATGTGTCCACTTGGGCGAGCCCAGGCCCAGCCAGACCGACACACACGAAAGCCGCTCCATAAGAGTTGGCCAAAGCGAAAAGCTGAACAGAACCAAACGCATAATCCACATGCTCGAGTCCATGATCTGGATCGCATCGGAACGGAGTTGGGCCCACAACTTCCGCAAGCGGCTTAATTGAAGAAAGAAATAAAAAAAACAGAAGGAACGGCACGCCGAACATTTAATACCCTTCTCGATATACGGCTTGTAGATATATAAAGATTGTTTCATTCTAGAACTTAATAATAATAAAAATAATAAAGAACTTAATAATAAACAAGAGGTTCTAGTCGGAAGCTCCCAACTAGGGGATACCCTCTTCCAACATCAAATGCATATATATATTCTATTTTAGAAGCTATATGTTAAGTTTGGTGACTCTAGCTCTTATTATTTACCAAAATTGCCCAAAAAACAGGATATCGATATCGATTCTTATCGATTGCTTGGAAACGGAGTAAGTTATCGATTATCGGAAACAAACTCGATCTGCGCGGGAACTAGGAGCATCTAAATCTATAATTTTAAGTCTCTAGCTCTTATAGGTTCCTTGCGTTCATACATACGGACGGACGGACGGACGGATGGACAGATGGACGGACGGACGGACGGACGGACAGACAGACGGACATGGCTAGATTGACTCGGCTATTGATGCTGATCAAGAATATATATACTTTATGGGGTCGGAGATGCTTCCTTCTGCCTGTTACATACATTTGGATTTCGCACAAATACAATATACCCTTATACCCATTTTTAATGGGTTCAGGGTATAAAAATAATAGACATCCGATGCCGACATATATATTATCTGTCATAGAAAGAGGGACCTATTAAACATTCACGAAAATATCTGTAAAGAATAAGAGACTTGTCTTCTTAGGAACATACAGATCAGCAATATATATATATATATATATCAGAACTATGCCTATGCAAGGTTAGACTAATACGTGTGCAATTGCAGTCAACGCCCGGGGGTCACAAGAATGTCGGCTGGATGAAACGGCCTTTGACCAGGCTTGGGGCAATGTGAAGAAGACGCCAACCGCCAAAGGGAAAATTGTTTTTAATTCAAATTGCGCGCGCTTGCGACGAGCGGAGCGAAGCACGGTACGTGATACGAGGGGGGGGTGGCTCTTCTATTTTGTGTGACCATCATGGTTTATGGTCGGCTAGTGTAATAGTTTCTGCGGCTATTGCAGCTGTTGTTTTTGTTGTTGCTGTTATTATAGTGCTGGGTTTTGTTGCTGTAACCAAGCGGCATTGAGCGGCTGCCTTTGTTGCTTTTGCTGGGCTAGACAGAGATGGCAACAAAATAAGCTACACCGAGAGCAGCTGGCAAAGAGAAAATGTGCGTGCTCTCTCTCTCTCTTTTGAATTGCGACCTGTTGATGGAACTTAAGAGCGTCAATTGAAAACTGTGGATGGCAAGTGGAACGTAAAATGCTTCGTGCATCTCTTATTAGAATCCAGGCCTTGGTGATGAGTGTAAATGACGGTTCATGTACCGAACCAAAAGGCAAAGAGTTGGTTCCAGCAGTGAACCGAACCACAAAAATATTGTTTTAGATTTTAACATGAATATAATATAAATTATATTGATGATAGTTGATCTTAATTTGCTTAATTTGTATAAAAATAAAACGCAGTCGATCTTTATTAGGCAACATCTGGAAAATATACTCCTTTATTTTAATAAATATGTAAATATATTATATATTCTCATATGCAAATTCAATTTGTTTTTTTTTTACATACTCAGATGTTTTTGAATTGTCTTTTATTCACATAGTTCTCGCTCCATAGTTAGATAATACATGTTATATAAAA